ATCTTTGTAGCCGAAAAAAGCTGGTAAAGGCACTGAACTTCAATTTTTTATGTACACAAGGCACCCTCCAAGGTGGAAGAGTAGAAGACCATAGACTGATGTTTACCAGGCACTTGCACTCACCACAATTATAATTATATTCAAGCAATACTCTACATATATAAAACTGATTACATGATGTCTTTAACGCATTACACCCTAATATCAGTAAGCATATTCTTCATGCTGTTCTCTATACATTTCCTGATGTGCTGGGAAGGAGAATTTGTTTAACAATCAAGAGGTTCTTCAGTTGATTATCATTTCCTTTATTCTCATGACCTTAATGCTTGATTTAGTGATGATATTGAAAGGAGAAATTAGATACTAGTCCCTCTTTGGAATTAAAGTGTCAATAACTGTACACATTTTATATGCTCCTTACATTTGTTGGCAACAATAGTTAAGATTGTTAGGAAAGCAAACAGATGAACAGAAGACAATGAAAGGAGGGAAACTGTAAACTTTACCCTATGTTAGAAGAAATGATCACAGAATACTTAAGAAAGGAAACTTGAATTATTGTGCTAAACAATTTTCTCTATTGCCCTTCTTGTTTTTGATCAAATAAAATTTAATCAGTAGAGGGTTTGCTTACAATGTGTTAAATCACCAGTGTGGACTTGATTCATCTCAAATGTCAGGAGGTAAAAGATAGATTCTAAAAATAGATGACCATAAGAAAAAGTACACATCTTGAAAAAAAATCACACTAAAGTGGTGGCATGATTGATTTGTGATATTAAGAATGACAGAAGCAGGAAAAACACATAGCGCTTCTTCCTATTCACTAGTAATTTTATTAGATTTCGGATTCTACATTCAAACTGTGTGAGATTAAATTTATCCATATCATGCTTCCTCATGGTTTGTTTACATGGAAAGTAATTGTTATTGTAGCTTCACAGATGTTTCCATTGCTGTCTCAACTAACATATTCATAACAAAGTTTCATTTAAAATAGATTGTTTCAAGAACGTTCTTTCTTTCTCTCCCACACTATTTACTATTTTTTGGATCACTATTAACCCTTTACACCCTAGCATCAGTATGCATATTCTCCATACTGTTCTCTATACATTTCATTATGTGCTGGCAGGGAGAATATGCTTAACAATCAAGAGGTTCTTTAGTTTATTATTATTGCCTTTATTCTCATAACCTTAATGTTTGATTCAGGGTAATATTGAAAGGGGAAATGAGATGCTAGTCACTATCAGGAATTAAAATGTTTAAGGAAGCAGGTTATTTAAAAAATTATAACTTTGATTCAAGCAAGTATTTGAATTGCGAGTAACATTTGATGTTTTCACATGTAACAGGATAATCAAGCTGAAGATGGCCTCAAAAAGGAGTGAACTAAACTGTGACAAATAGATCACTGCTTTTGAAGCTTGAGCACTAAATGTAAATACACCTAGGCTTGCAATTCTGATGATTACGGTTTACTGAGGTAATTGAAATGTCAGTCCCCAAGCAGGAACCACCCACATGACCTGTACAGTCATGAGCTACGAGATAACTTTAGAAAAATGCATTTGTGTCAGTGGAACTATTGTGAGTACAGTACCACCTGGTGAAAAAAATTAATAATTTTCTGTAAGTATGAAAGTTTGGGAGAAGTTATATTGGTAACTGACCCTTTTTTGTTAAAATCCATAGGATTTGATGATTGTAATGTATATCTCTTAGCTTTTAAACTTTCAACTTTGTATTAATTGTAGCTGTTTACCATACTTATTTCTTTCTACTTCATGCCCCACATAATTTTGCTGTGTAAGTTGCCACATTGTAACATGCAATATTTTTATTTGAGTAGCATTAAATACTCTTGCTCAAGCTTTTATTAATGCATGGTGTTTCTTACCAATACTCGATTACCCAAACTTAACATTGATATAAAGAATTGGTCACAAGATATGTGAGTTTTAAAGGGTGGGAAACTGGAAAAGCAAAGATTCCCCTTTAATTAGGACTGAAATTAAAGTGGGCTTCGCTATTTTAATTCATGTTTTTACTTTGACCCGCATGAAAGTTAAATTAATTGGCATCTGCATAATGCACAAAGTACAAATATAAATGACTTACCTCAATAGGTTATAAAATTGAAATAAGAAAGTTGTGCAGACCATATCTTGCCTTTTATCCTTCTCTCGATATTTATTCAAATAACATAGTCACTATCAGTCTCTCACTCTCACTTTCCACTGAGCTTGCGGAAAGATGATAACCTCAGTATTTTTTTAAATGAAGAATGAAAAGCCTGCCCTCTTACCACAGATAGTTCTTTTGTGCATCATTGGTACATACCAAGTCTTATTTGTACAGGAAGTTGATTGTTCTAGGCAGGCTAACCTATCAAATTAGTTGTGAAAATTTCTTTGTTTGACTCAATTTTACCTGACAAACCTAAACTGTATAAATAGAAACTTGAAATTTATTTCTTCTCCTTTTGAGGTGTGCATCAAAATTTTGAAGTCATGGCAGGCTTGAACTACAGGTTTATTAGAAATCTGCATGTGTGTATGTGTGTTTTCAACATATAAAACTGATAAAAAGGTTGCTTAGCTTTTTTCATTAATGCACATTTCTTTTTCTAAGAATCTTGTTTATTTGGCCTATGCTGAGTTCTAATTTTTCAAAAAAATTTTACATTCTTTTGAATATTCTAGATCTCCTTGTATCAGTTAATATTCATGTAATTAAAATAATTACATCAAATCTTGCAGATGTTTGGTACATTTTTCACCTGATCCTACTGACATTTCATCATGCATAGGGATTGGTATTGGCTATAAAAGTATATTTAAATTAAATATTTGTGCACAGCCTATGCATCAAATAATTGTAATAAAATATTGTATCCTTCTGAAAACTAGTTTATCAGAATAAAAATGAGTACCAGGCACAAGTATGGCTTTCATGATGATAGTTTCCAAGTTTGAAAAAAGTCACTGCCTACTAAAATCCAACCTCATCAAAACATTGGCAACAGGAGCCATTAGCAAATTAACAATACAGAGAAGAGAGCCTATTCCCACATACACCCTCCTTGATCCTGTTCACTTACTATGGACACAACATTTCAAACATAACGTATGTTTCCCTGACTACTGGTAATTATTTTGTAATGGTGTTTACAAATTGTGGAAAATAGTTGGGTTGAAATAAAATACAACAACTTGCCAGTAGATATTCAAAAGAATACTTTTTACATATCAATAAAATTTATTGTTGTGTTTCATGTTAACATGTTGCAATAACTCTACCTTCCAGTAAATTCAACTATTTGCAAACATGAGAAAATACCATCAAAAACTTTTCAACCCATTTAATATAGCCAATAACAACATCAACTCAAATTTAAAACTAAAGAGAAAACTTGATTGATGTTTGGAATTGATTGCTGTGATGTAAAAATGAAATCCAGGTATTATCTTAAGTTTTCCACAAATGTCTTCATGATCGAGTCTCTCTTCGTCATCGAGTTTTAATCACAACATTTTAGCTCTAGCTTGTCTTCTTTCAAAGCAAACTTTTGCTGCGCAAGAAACATGTTAGACAAATTTCGTACTTCATTAGCTAGAGTTGCTAAAATCATGGGCAGTTGGCTTAAAGAAACCTACATTGCAAGGAGTTGCATCAAAGGTTACTGAATCAAATAACAGAAAGAACCTCTAAAAGACGCCGTGTATTTCCAGGCAGAGGACAATCATGAAACAAGCAGTCATACCTGGACACTTCAAGAGAAGATAAAAGAGAAGCCCATACGATTCTGGCGTCTTGATTTACTAATTCACTGTCATCAAGTGTATACTCTTCAATCGACTGGCGACTCGAAGTAGTCTACCGTAAATTTCAGTTTTGGCTCCTTTTCCAAAACTAAAATTATCAGTCACGCCCAAAAGAATATAATTTTTAACTGATGCTGACACCACACACTTCCTCTGAAGAAGAAGAGATTCTCTATCTTCGAAAATTTGCTCATCACATCAGGAACAAAAACGAAAGTCCTTCGTTGCTGGAAGATACCGCTGACTAGCATGCTTTTATCGCAAGTTATGAGAACGTCGTCCCCAGGTTCCAGACCTCGCCAATTCTTCCCTTCCCTCCCCACCCCCGGAAATGGTCTCTTAATCCCCTTGAAGAAACTCTTCTACAGCGAGTGCTGAAGAGTTTTATAACAGTTTTTATTATAATGAGGGGCTGGAAAACAAACTAACAAGAGCTCCGCTTTTGGGCTCGGCTAAATCTTTATATTAGCGGAGCTCGTAGAGCGTAGGTCCATAATTATACAAAATGGTAGTAGTAACCCATTAAGCCGAAAAAAATTGAACTTACGACCGTACGACCGACCGTACAAGGTGCTACTTTTAACATGCGTGGTCAACTGAACCGCGGGCACGCCAACGCCACGGCTTTGTCCAGTAGTCCAGTGGTCAGTGCACTGGGCTCCGAGTCGGACGACTCGGGTTCTAGTCCTGGCCGGGGCAAGGCGTTGTGCCCTTGAGACGTGTGGGAAAAAAAAATGCGAGCTCCGCTTTTAGGTTTGGCTAAATCTATATATTATACCTGTTTCAAAAAGACTGTTTTAGAAAACGGGTGTATATACATGAACTAGCCCTAATCAGTCACGTTTTAGTATATGAGAATACATCAGTAGACTTAGAGAATATACATTACCTCCAACTCTCGCCAAATGAATCGTCTGTGTAATACTGTTGCTCATCTCCTCCATGATCAAAATCATTAGAAGGGTTGTTATCAAAGTTTCCACACATGCCCTCAGTTTTGTTGACATCAAATTTGGGAGCTTCCAGTTCAACATTATTACCCCAAGAGTACCGCTTCATTCTTACTACTGCACCAGAGGGAAGACGAACCTGATGGGTGAAGATCCGTGAAGATTAATCAAATGGACAGTTTATTTGACAACACCTACTGTGTATACACGTTTTTTGGTCGTTCGCAGCGAATCTACATTGCTTTGCTTAAATATTACAAAATGAATCTGGTAGGCCTTTAAAGGCCTTCCTTCGAAGTAGGGAGTCGATATAAATCAGTTCCTGGTAGAACGGTAGGTTATATGAGCTAGTTTTGTAAACATTGGCAAAGATGAAAGTGATATTAATGTTGCAAAAAAAAATCAACTTCAATAATTTCACCGGTGAACTGGGTGGCTTGAAGTAGAATATATACATTGTGTCATAAGTATGTGTGCTGCGTATACACGTTTTTTGGTCGTTCGCAGCGAATCTACATTGTTTTGCTTAAACATTAAAAAATTAATCTGGTAGGCCTTTGAAGGCCTTCCTTCGAAGCAGGGAGTCGATATAAATCAGTTACTGATAGAACGGTAGGCTGTATTAGCTAGTTTTGTAAACATTGGCAAAGATGAAAGTAATACATATGTTGCAAAAGGAAATCAATTTTAAAATTTTCACCGGAGAACTGGGTGGCTTGAAAGTAGAATATATACGTTAATTTATCTTCTAGGTCCCTTCTAGGTCCCTTCTAGGTCCCTTAGCGATGCCGAGAGAGCCCCACTGAAGAAAGGACTGAACTTCACTTTAACTCCTGTGAATATTACGGCCACAGAGATCATCGCCAAGGTCGAAGCAGCTGCAAGACGACTCGACGCCGAACATGCAGATACTGTCAGAAGAGCTGTTAACGGTATCCTTCAACAGGCAGAACCACCAGAGTCTAATATCACGAAGGATATACGAAATGTACTTAAAAGCCTGAAAGAAGACGAGTCCACTGTGGTTCTCCTAGCAGACAAAGGGCGCGCTAGCGTAGTCGTGGATACCGAAACCTACCGAGCTAAGATGTCTACGCTTATTGAGAAAGGACCGTACCAGCTCCTTAACAAAGATCCGACAGGCCGTCTGACCCGCAAGTTGTCGAGAAAGCTGCTTACCTTGAAGCGAAGCTATGGAAGAGATTAAAATAACCCTCAGGTATACACTACCCAAGAGGATATAGAAGATATTAAAAATTAATCTTCAGGTATACACTACCCAAGAGGGCATGCAAGAGATTAAAATAACCCTCAGGTATACACTACCCAAGAGGGTATGCAAGAGATTAAAAATAACCCTCAGGTATACACTACCCAAGAGGGTATAGGAGAGATTACGAATAACCCTCTGGTGTACACTACCCAAGAGGGTATAGGAGAGATTAAGAATAAGCCTCAGGTATACACTACCCAAGAGGGTATAGGAGAGATTAAGAATAACCCTCAGGTAAACACTACCCAAGAGGGCATGCAAGAGATTAAAATAACCCTCAGGTATACACTACCCAAGAGGGCACAAAAAATTGAATTCACACTAATTTATAACAGGAGACCGCTCTTTGTCTGGACTCTTTCTTTTGACTGAAAGTTGAGGCATCCATCGTTAAATTACATAGTTATTATCCTTTACTAGTTCCCGAATTTCTTTGTCAAGCTCGGCTATTCTTGGCTGACATCATTGCAATTTCCCTTGATATTTCAACTGGAGGCATTTCCCGCCTAAAGTGTACAGTCGAGGGCGATTTGATTTACCGCATCAACAACAAGATTATGTTTTGAGACCTCGCGAATCTATCTGCTGGATTTCTCCCTGTCTAATTAGTGCGGCACAGAGACCAATTGAAGATATAACATGCATGTTGGTTTCCTGGCGTTGAACGAACAGCCTATGTTGGTACGCTTGAGACCTGCTGGCGGGACAGAACTTATCGTAATCATCGCGGAATCGACGAAACAATTCGTTCTTTGCAAAAGCTTTCGGCCTGATTTCACATTAACTTTTCGTTAGCACATGCCAGTACTTTTTGGGGTCGAGATTGGATCCCGTAACTATAGAAAGCTCAGCCGATCGATCGAAGACTTCAGCCTCCAAGATAAGATCGCGCCAAGTAATTTCAATGCCAGATTTCTTGTGTTTTCGTAGTTAAAATTCGAGCATAGATGAAGTATTAATTATTAGGTGAACCTTTAACTTGTAATCAACAGGTTTAAGTAACCGCATAGACACCTACCGACCGCAAACGTTGATGTAATTCGTAATTCTTTACACTGATGACAGAAATATAGCGCCTCCGTAGAATGCATGCTGCGAATTTTTTTCGGGGCCAAAGCTCCTCATGTTAGCTTTTTGCTGTTATTCACTACGATGAATAACCACAACCTTTTATACGAAATATATACGTTGTGTCATAAGTAAGTGTGTTAAAGGAAACATGTAGGTTGCATTAATTCTTACCACATATTCGCTATAGCTTCCATGGTGTCGAACAAGGATCTGTGTACCTCTCATCAGTCGACCTGGACTTGTTATTAATACTTTCATTGGCATCCCATAGTTGTATTGTAAGTCTTCAGTGCAGGAGGTGAGCACAATGACGTCGCGGAGTTCTCTAATAGCTACTCCACAGTTGCAAGTTACAGTTCGCCCACAATGCCAAAGTCGTGTATGAATCTTTGCGTAATGAAATGTAAAAAGGAATAATGGAAACAATACTCCGCATAAGACTTTGGCATGATTCTTTCAAAAGAAATGAATTGGCATGAAAAACCGAAAAAGCGGCTTATTGTAAAGTATGACATAAGCAATATGTCGATGGGTCACAAGAGGAAGCAAAGTCTTGCTTACAGTTAAATGCCTTCTGTTTTGATCTCTTCCTGTCACTCATACCTGTAAGAACCCTTTGGTACACTTGGGTGGCATATCAGGCGACTATGGTTCAGCCATGGTTCGTGTTTTGGTGAGATGCAGTCGAGACTAAATACTCATGGCAAACTCATGACGTAGGGTGAGAATTCTTTAAGTGGAACCCAAGAAAACCCAAAATTGAAATCCAAGATAAAATTTACCACGGGTGAATTCGTTTAATTTTCCCATGGTAAATCGATTTCCCCATGATTAATAGTCTGTAATGTGGCCACAGTTAAAAGAGATAAGACAATTTAGGAAACTCAATCAGCAGTGCCTCAAGTTTCAATATTTTTCTTTTCATTCACCAGTAATATTATCAGCTGTAATACCTCAACCATACATCTCAGAAAGATACATGTCCTCTTTCCTCTCCAACCCTTCAGAAAGGCAACCACCTAACACAGTGTTTTAGAATTTTGCAGTAGATTTTCTACATTTAGCTGTCATCACTTTTTCAGCCTTCAGTTTAATGCACGATCGCCTTTTTTCCTAATTTACTCACTTAATGTGAGCTTTGTGAGTGTTTAAGCAAAAATACCTACCTCAAAATATCGTTCCTTATTACGGTACAGAACGAAATCTCCCGGCCTGTAGAAATGGTAATATCTAAGTGAAAGAAAGACAGTTTGAGTGATTAAAACTTTCAGAAATTTAACGATGGATTAGTTCCTCGTTAGAAGTCTTTTTTGCCCACAGGATTTAGGCTTATGAGGGACATCCATCGGATATAAGAACAGTTCATGGGAACATTAATACCAACCATGAGGTATGAGAATTTATCACACATTTAGAGATCAAGGTGACATGTAAGTCGTAATCTACTTTTGGTTCATAATTCTTGTCGGCAACGAGACCAAGATCTCAGATGTATATGGGGGATAAAAGTGGCTTTAAGGGGATTCCTCAGTATTGCACTAAGCATCCTGTACTGCGCATAAAAATCATGTAATCAGGGGAATAAGCGCGCGCATTTCGAGAATAAGTTATTGTTTTTTGAAAAGCCTAGAGCAAGGTTAACATGAGTAACCGGCTCTTAAACGATGCGAGCATTTAACAGCATTACGGAAAAAGTGAGGAGCATCCCATTTGAAATTTAAGCCTCGCTTTAGTGTTGACTCGTTACGGACCAATGCACGAAAGTGTAAGAGGTTCACTGGAATAAAGAATGGCCAGTTGATGTGCAAATACCGGGGGTAGCTTCTTTGTAGTTTACTAAACTATACATGGTGTCAGTATCCTAACAAACCCGAGATAGGATGCCCATAGAGGAACAGCTGCTTAATAATGCAGCAAACACAGCGTCTGCTGATAGAATAACAGTACACAGCTAAAACAATTAGATTAACCTCGAAGCGACAAATTCGACAGACAGTTGGGAAAAATGAAAGCCAGAAGCAGAGTTGTATATGGATTTGGCAATGTGTGATCAGGAAGAGTTGAAGAAAGTTAAGTTGCTCTCGTTTTGAATCGGAAGTCAGGAGCGAGAAATTTAGGGAGAGCAAAACATCTGTGGGACTCAGGACAGGCAACTTCTCGAAGACCTCCTAAAAGATCCAAATCTTAACGATGTCTCGATGTCAGCAGATCAGCAGAATTATCAAAAGAAAGCAGGAGACCCTTGGAAGAAAAGCGAAGCAGCAAGGTCGTTTGAAAGATCAAAATAGTGAAACACGGGAAAAGGTCAGACATCAAAGCTGTGAATAACAAGAGGCCCAGAAACATTCGTGTCTGATGCGTTGGACGCTCAATTCAGCGGTTGCAGCGGCAGAATAAATATGATTATGCAAACATATGTCTCTTGATAGAAAGTAAAACCAACCGAATAATTGCACACGACTGAAACAGCGATTCCACAAACGATCGGACGGGTACATAAATCTGAGAAAGCATCAGTTTTACTGACGACTGGATAAATTCCTAAAGGTCGGCACACACGAGGGGACTAGTCGCTCCAACTAATCCCTGCAACAAGTCGCCGGGACAAGTCCCATCATGTGGTCGCAAGGACTAAAATTTGGTCCCTGCGACTGCTCCCACGAATTCAACTTTTGGGACAAGTCCTTGCGACTTGTTTCTCAAAACGCTTCGTTTAAACTGTTCGTGGGCACAGGTGCTTGCATCCAAATTGAAATAATCCAATTACAGATCGGCATCACAAGCTCCCACAACTCCTTACGAATTCTGTTTCAAGATGGCGGATCACGAGGAAAACGATGCTTGGAGCGTCACTTCCACCAGAATGCTGATCGACTATAGCAAAAAAAATCGATAATCCTGGGACAAAAATCATAAAGATAACAGCAACAAAAGCAAAACCAACAAGATGCTATCTCCTCTATTCGTAAAGTTTGAGAAATCAAGTGCTCCTTGAAGCCTGAATTACATTAAGAAACGTTGGCATGGTATTAAAAGCTGTTTTCTAAGGTATATGAAAAAGTCGCCTTCTTAGCAAGAGAATATCAAGTGGACATATTGGTCGGATTTATCGTTTTCGAGAGAAAGTGTAACTGCAGAAAACACAATTTACAGAAGCGATTGTGTGACTTCCAGGATAATTTCTTTGATGTTTCCTGCTCGGATTAAACCAGGTTTGAAATAATATACATGATTACTGGAAATCTTGATCGAGTTTTTGCCCCTTTTTGTTTCCGTATTGGCCACATCTGATCAGTAACAAAGCGTCATTTTACGCTCATATCCGAACTGAATCAAAAACAATTCAAGCACTGAATAATTTCGCTGAACAATCTGCGGTTTGTACTGAGCTGATATATTTCAACGTTACAATGCTATTTTAATAATATTGGTTTCTTAAGAAAGCTGCAGAGTGAAAGAATGATACCGTTTGCCCCCAGTTTTTGCTACTTTTCTGTGCAATTGGTCCTTGCGACCAGTCCCTTCGTGTAAACTCTTCAGGAGACTAGTCGCAGGAACTAGTCGCAAGGACTAGTCCCCTTGTGTGTGCCGACCTTAAAACACAGCAGTTTTTACAACCGAGAGAGTCATTCTGTAAAACTGACGATCACTAACGGGGTATCATAATAGCAACCGGCTGAATTAAAGCGTGGTGTATAGACTTATCTTTAGAACTAGCGGAAAAGAGGGCTACAAGTAAAGTCCATAGAAGACCACAGACGCTTTATTGAAGAATGTTTCGGATTCATGCAACTGATAAAATTAGTTTTGAAACAAACGCGCCAAAGACATCTGCAGGCCTATAAAACCAAACGACTACTATGAGTGACACGCCAGTAACATATGAATATATACGAGTACATACGGTTACATGCGAGTGCCAAAATAGTACCTAATGATACATACGAGTGATATACGAGTTAATAAGGTTTAAAATCTAATATTTTACTGTAAGGGAAGGTTGCGCGCGAACTATCTGTATGAAGAAACGTAAGTGCGAGCTATTAATCCCCACGGCGAAGACGCGTGTGATTAAACACATTATTACAAAGAGTCAGCGTGCCCTTTTTTCTCATATTTCCCTATATTTTTAATTCAACAAGAGGCCGCAGAGGCCTTCGGGCGAATTTTCATCTCTTAAAAAATAATTTCTTTTTAATTTGATACTAAGCATCGTTGAAAAAACAAACGAACCAAAAAAACCCAGGCGTGAACACAACAAGTTTGCGAAACGTTTCGATTTTGTACGATCTGATACGAAACAGGAGCCGTGGAAGTAGTTCTGATTGATTTTTAACATTCAGACTACACAATGTCAGTTATCTTTATGTCACGATTACGGCTGGATCTATCGGTAACTAAAACTCTTTAGCGAACGTAAATATTTTTTTTTCAGAATTCGTGGAGTTGATTGTCGCAAATCTTTAATTTCATCCAGTCAGAAAACATGGAACCTGCAGTCTCAGATATTACGTTCCGAGGTATATCGTTTTGAGACTAAAAGGTTCGTTTTCAATTTCAAGCTGGAGAAAACTTTGAAAACAAAGATCGTCGCGTTACAATGGAGATATCATGAATAAGCGCGAGTTTTGATATAAGTACTTGAATGTTAGATTGGAAAACAGAGGACGCGTTTTTTCTTTCCAAGACTCAAAGTTCAACCGAATTAATCTGCTCCTTTCTCTTTAACCCTTTCAGCCCCAAAAATGATCTAAACTAAAGGTCATCACTAAAGGTCACAAAAGAGATGTTGCTCTGGTAGCTAACATACATAATTCTCTCAGCTGCTGTTTAAAAAAAGGAATGTATGAAGAACAGTGTGGAAAATTGATATTTTGAATATGAGGAATTAATGGATAAAGTGTAGGAAAAACAGTGGAATTGACGTCAAGATTTATCAAGTTTTTCTTTTCTTACCCTTATTTAGTACATTTAAAGCAATTTTTTTGTAAGGACATATATACTGTCTAAATTTCCATCATTGTGCAAGCCAAAGAAAAAGAGACTTTCGTAAGGCTCTGTAATGTATTTTCCTCATTAAATATACAGATATAAGGTATTTATAAATTCAATTGCAATCAACTTCAGATTTCAGTAATTTGTACCTTCGTAACTGAAACCAAACAACATAATGCTATAAAAGCATGTTGGAGATGATAAGGTTGCATGACAGTGAAGTTAAGTTGATTGAACAGTACAGTAATTTAATGACATATTGTGTGATTAGCAAATAGAAACCTGAGAACTTAATTTGACACCTTTCTTGCCTAATACGTTTTGTGAAACACTGCTGTTGTACGACGGATTTTTTCCATCAAATAGTTCTGTTACTGTTGATAAATCTTTTCGTGATATCGTGAAGTTCGGCCGCCTACAGGCATTTAGGACAAGCACTCGATTACTGAAAATTTCTTAAATAGTATGTTATAAAATGAGAATATATTAAGAATCAAGCTCTTCAGTTAACTTGGATCAAAGAGGTACAGTTTGTATGGAATAAACATAGTATGCTCCAACGTTGTGGGGCATGCAAGTTGCTCTGTAATAAAACTTAGAACCTATAAAATGTTCCTTTTAACTTGACTTTGACAGCTCGCCACGTAACATTTCTTACTGAGAACTAATTAAATGGTTATGTGATGATCCTACGAAGAAGACTACTGAAACGGATTCAGTTGTAAACTATAGCTTGGAATTGAGGAAACATCTAATACTCTCTGAATGGCTCCTGGGGTACTTGTCGGGAAATTCCCGGGTGCACCCGTAGCACTTTTTCACCTTGTTTGTAAAGAAGCACGTCTCGTAACGATAGGGTAACCAACCAGAATGCCAGGTCGGACAGAATTTTAGCTGCAGTTGAAGTAATGGAGTTAAAAACGGAAGTCGAAAAGGCTGTTGTGAGACTACTTTGATGGAAGTATGGGCTACTGCCGACAGATGAGAAGGCAGCTTCTGTAGTCACAGTAGAGTCGAGCCAGAATTGGAAGAGCCTGTTTGTTGCGTTAATTGCTGATTGAAAGTGGTAAGTGCTAAAGCGATATTTATTTGTTCTGATGATGTAGTAGTGGAGGTGAGGTAACTGTAAGAAAATGAAGGCAAGAGTGCGGGGCACTTGTATTCTGTTGCAGTTTGTTCGATGGCGCTTGAGTTTCGTGCAATGTTGGTGCCCATGACTGCAAAGCATAATTTCG